AACAAAATGCTTTCGTGAACATGGAGAAAGGCTGGAGAGAGAATCAGACAAGCTATAAATTAAAGCAGAGGATATGAATACCATGCAAGCTGCAGTGTTAGGGTTAACGTGGGTCTGGAAACAGTTTAGTGAAAACCTGGTGTGGCTAGGGGCCAGCTCCAAGTTTAGTTGCTTTGGGCTAATCGTTTCCTTCAGGCAGGCTACTCTAGCACACTAATAGGTTTTAATAAAAACTTCCAATTGGGCCAGTAAACCCCTCATTAAGCTGTTTTTAAAGCATGAATTTAAGAGCGGCGAGGGTAAAAGGTCATGAGGAGTATTTAATTCACAACGGCTGGCAAAAGGTGCTGTTGTGATTGAAAACACCAGAGTTCAAGTGTCCAGGGCCACATAAACATCCGACTCTGTCACTAGACCTGGTTAAGTGACAGCTTGAAAAATAGATTTAATAAGACAGAGAGAAAAGTTTCCCACTCTTACACGAGAAATAGGAACAGCAGATCACAATATTAGCCAGGAACAGGAACAGTCCGTAAGCAGCCCCGTCCCTCCCATCTCGGCGTGGGGGAGGATGAATAAATAGCAGTCTACGGCCATCTGGGTGTTCAACCCCGCAGCGATTCCCAGGGGCTTGCCGGGACGCTCACGCTGCAGCCTCACCGTCTCCTGCTGTGAACAGAACAAAGTTCCTTGGGAATAACACGGGCCAACCCGTCCTCCACGTCCTGCTGCCAGTGTCCCTCCCACATGCCTTCTGTACAGCGAGCTACCGGAGTAACAAGTGCCACCGGGTGCTAGCATGATACTTATGTGCTGCCATGCGGAAAAGCAAACCTCTGCCACTGAATTCTCTTGCGCTTGGGCAACCTCACACCCACCACGCAGACACTGCAGAGAGGTCTGCAGGAATCAACGGGTTAGCTCAGGGCACAGTTCAGCCCAGACACATCCCCATCTCAGTACACTTTTAAACTAAGCTTTGGAACTGCACTAGTGAGGTTTGACCTTAGTTTTTTCTACTTACTCTCATTTTTTCCCCGTGACTGCAGCGCTGCTCACTAGTATAGTGCAAGTAATATGAAAACTTTGCCCCTTCCTTGGAAACATGCACTCACAAAGGAGAAACATCTCAATCTTGTACAGCAAAAGCCAGAACCCCAGCTGTGCACTCTAACATTTCTTTTTATGTCAGTGCACATCTAAAATTCAAGATCCCTGAAGACCTTTTAAAAGAAAATCCTCCTTGGAACAATTTGCATTGAAGTAAAGAGTGAGGATTTAACAAGTAATGGAGAATTACGTACACTCGGCTCTCAACTTTTTATTCTACTTCTAATCAAAACACACTTCATCTTAAATTCTGACATAATAGATGCAATATAAAATTTGGAGGCAGGCATGGGTATGAACTAAATTATTTGCTTATTCCATGTTTACAGATAACGGAAAAAAACTAGAAGTTTAATTCACCCTTCAGTGATCATCGTCTCTCCATACCAAAATTAACAAGAAAGTTTACTGTAAGAGAAAAAAAAAGCTCTTACTTTTAAAATATGCTTCTAATTCTAGCCATACGGTTGGCCTGCAAAGAGTGCAGAAGCAAGGCTCTCTGGAACGATCCCCAAGGAAACATTTGCTTTGGCTCCAAATAGGACACTTTTGTGCATCAAGAGTCAAATAAGATCAGCTGCTTCTCAATCCTTTCTGTTTAATGATCCCGTTGATAGCCAAAAGGTAAACAGATGCATTTCTGTCTTTTCTGCATGTTCCTTGCTGGGAATCCAGATTGCTGCTCCAAGAGGTATCCAACAGCTATGGAGGCCACAACGTGGAGTCAGAATCTCCCTGGACAGTTGCATCATTTTCCCACACCACACCTGGATTTTTCCTCTACAGAGGGACGTGGCTGTCCATTACAACTCACGCGATCTTTGCAGCCTTTGTGCAGCTCTGCTTAGCTCTCCACTGTTGTCTCCTTCGACCAGTATCTCAGGACACACACTGGGCCATCAAACTGTCTTCTGAATATCTGGGGCTACTTAACACAATAAGGCAGAACAGAAGAAAGAGGACAAGAAAGCCTGTAAAAGAGCATCATCTTTTTCAAAGCCTCTGTTAGAACAGAGATAATAAATCACTATATTAAATCAGGCTTCCACTGAAAAAAAAAGTCCTTGGGGGTATCTCAGACAGAAGCATCATCAGGAACTACTGCTCTAGGAGAGCACACCCTTGCTCAGAAAGGGTCAGAAACAGCAAAGCTGTCAACACCACAAATCTGTTGAAGCAGCTTTGGTCTCATTCTAAGGCAGGAGAAAAGATGTCCTTAATTTTAAAGAAGGATAAAATAACAAGTTGACCTTGCTGGTTCTTTCTAGTCCCAGCACCACAGCTGCAACCTTCAGAGAGGGGGAGACCTGCCATTCCTGGAGCTGAGCCAGGACCAAGGGTGCTGAGCGAGGCCAGCTGGCTCGTGGTGGCACGCACAGGTCACGAAGGCACCTAGAAAGGGGCTTGAACAGAGAGGGCCATGGAGGCAAGCCCTTGGTACACCAAAGCTCAAGGAGGAGATTTAGGCTAAGGATGAAGTTGCCACAGAAGCTCAGCTCTCCAGGAGCAGCCTGGCTGCTGGCCCTGCAGGTGTGCTCCACCGAGGGCAGGCAGCATATCCATCCATCCATCCCTCCCTCCCTCCCTCCCTCAGACTCCTGGCAGCCTCAGCTCAGCTCGGAAGCACCAAAGCAATCCAGCATACTCCAGCCAACGAGCAGTCCCACCAGAGTACAGTCCACGCTCAGCAACCAGAGCACTGCACTGCCAAAAGCAGGGAAGAAAAGGGGCCATCAAGTCGGGCGCTCCCGTCTGCTGGCAGGGAGCCTCGCATGCCTGAGCTGTGCCTATCCACGGGGAGGGACCCCACGTAAAACTGCCGTGTGCTCACTGAAACACGCCACGCTACATCTAAAGCCAAATTTATACCTGAATAACAATAAATAAAGCTGAGAAGTTATTACAGCTCGGCTAATTTCAGAACAGTGCTAACCCCCAGGCTGACACCTACTCCAGGATTTGCATTGCGGAGCACCTCTTCACCTTTCAAAGATAAATAATCCAACGCGGCCGGTGCTTTGCACTGTGAAAGCCCTTGCACGGCTGTTTCGCAGTTCATTCCCTGAAGTGAGGAGTGTTTTTAATAACTGTTACCTGACAGGAGTAAGAGCAAAGAGCAAAACCTGTGGCAATACCAGTTGATCCCATTTGGCCTAACAGCTTGTTGTTATTTCCAGGCTCTGGAGCTCTTTAAAATTCATAGGGACAGCCTGCAGTTTTAATAGAGGCTACCAAAATCCATCCTAAGATGTATCAAAAAAAGCACACTTCCTGGAGGGGAATAGGAAACAGTCAGCATTTACAAAGATCTCTCCGGGAATTTTATTTTATTTTTTTTTTTTTTTTTTTTTAAAAATTTTGTTGCTTGCTTTGAAGTAGATGCTACCAAAGAATAAGGCTTCCAGAGCTCAGCAATATTTAATGCACTTCTACAGCAATGGATGACAATGTTGTTGTTTCAGCTATATTATAACAAAAATATTGTGGTTTTCCTGTATTCTAACAAAAGTAACTCAAGATTTACATCTCATTCATCTTACTCAGAAGTAGCCCTTAAGCCAAAAACAAGGAAGGGAGAGACCCTACCGCGTACAAAGGACTTCAGTAATCCTCATAGGGTGGCTATCCAGTCGGGACATAAAGAAAGGCCAAAGAAAGATAAAACACCACTGGCAAAAAGAGTTTTTCTACAACCATCAGTGAGAGTGGAAAACACGTGCAGAAGATGAGTAACTTGAGTTAAAACTAAGATGGGTGTCCTCACTAACCCAAGAAAAGTCTGGATCTGTATTGTAAAGTCCAGCTGGTTAAAATATCCACATGCAATGTGAAAGCATTCTCTAAACCACACAGGAGTGGAAACGATTCTCCAAACTCCTCTGCTTCTCCACTTGGTGAAGCACCATCTCAATGATCCCACATACAGTAAAACAGTTCGTTCACTTACAACTGATTAAAATGATCAATTGGTAAACAAGGAGACAAATGCAATTCCCTGAAGGAGAAGGGGGAGGCATGCCCGGTCATTACTTTTGCAAGACTCCATAATACACAGACACAAATGGACTTTAACTATTCTTGTGCCTTATATTAGAGTAACCAAATTTCTTGGGATTGGTTAGTGACAACTTGGGAACACGAATCCCCTTTTCATCCACACAATGATGAAGCATCCTTCTCCACCCACCCATCCAACAGTATGAGCGCCAGGCTGAAAGAAGACATGGCCAAATAGGCTGTTTTAAGACATTATGCCATGGCGGTACTTCCCAGAAAATCAGAAGTACACTAGCAGTTTTCCTAATATTTCCACAGAGAGAAACCGGTTTTCTACCGGGATTTCTAACTTTCTGTTTAGACTCCAGCTGTGGGTTGGAGTACTTAATGCTGAAAAAACCCCAACCTGTGCAAAGCACGAATCAACCTTCCAGATCTCCAAGGGACTAATATCTGCACCACACACCAGTGGGAAAGCAGATGATATGAATAAAGGTTCTTGACGTTTGGACAAGTCACCAGTGGAAGAGGAATTGGAATTTAGGAGGAACGTGTTCCCTCCGTCCTTCAGACCTCGCTTTGCTTGGTTGCCTCAGGTTTATTTAACTATTCGTCTTTAACGTCACCCTCCAAATGATGCTGTTGGTACTTACACAATCCTTACACCAAGCCTCCTTCAATCTCAATTTACAGAATTTACACCAGTTTTCCATTTCTTAACGGCATACGGGCAGAAAGAAATTCAGTGAAAGGCAGAGAACAGAGACAATCATAATTTAAACATTTGACAGAGAGAGATAGAGAAAGCAAGCTAGAGTAATGTAAAAGCTACATACCCACAAACGCACCAATAAATTATAACTGCAGATTTTTTCTCATTTTTATTCACTTACCAAAGGAATACCTGCAAAACAAAATGAAGAAAAAGAAAAAAAATTAAAATCTCGGTTGATCAGTTGTAGGAACCTATGTCTCATATCAGTTCTATTTCAAACTTCACACATTTTGAGTTTCAAAACACATCTGTCAAGGAGTATGGAAACATGCCTGAACCATGTAACATGCAACTCAAAGGCACTAAATGGTAAATTGCTGCTACCTGGAAATGCAAGAAGAGCAAATTCCCTCATTTCTGGGCTGTTATTTAGCACTCCAAGCAATTGGCCACCCTTCTTCCAATAAAGATGCTAAAGGAGCATACCCAGAGGAGACAGCAGAGTCCCAAATCACAACAGACACTGGGCTTCACAAAGGGCTGCTCCTCACCTTCCCTCTGACTTGAGAGACTCCTCTGAGCGAGCAATCTAGTTGACAGCGCAGCTTAACCAGGTTCCACTGCAAGATTATTCATTTACAGTTTCCAAAGCATGCTAAGCACTTCCCAGGCAGAAGGCAACAACTGAAGCTGTTAAAAACACAAAGCTTAATGCATACTTCTGCGCTGACGAAGCCCACGCTGCTGAAAAGCAAGAAGTTACTTCTCGCTGGTGAACTATTCATTGGGTTTTTTCCCTTTTGAACACAGAAAAGTCTCGCACCATGCCATCTGCTAGTTGAGTGCTGTGTACTACATGCTCACCAATCCTCAGCGTCTCGGGAAAAGTGATACACGCTTACTGTATCATTTTCATGTGAATTTTCGCCGCACTCTGGTGCATCACTTAACTTGTTTTTTCACCTGGTCTTCTCATTGAAATTACAGTTAGCCTTAGCTACAACATAGTGATTTCCTGCAAGATTACCAGTTCTGATTAAAAGTAAAACCCAAAGGTTAACAAGTTTTAAGATGCTGTTCTTCAACAGACAGCTTGTGTTTACTCCCATTATGGCTTCAATCCCACATCAGGGCTTTATTATTTGTATCTGCAGCATATTGCATTACACTAAACAAAAAACCAAACCACACCACACACCCCCAAAACAAAAAAACACCCCAGGCTTTTAGACTTCCAGAAAGATTTGCTTTTACTGAAAATGTCCTGAATAGGTGTGCAAATTTTATATTCACACACATGTAGTTCAAATATTTCTAAAATCCATCAATCCAAGTATCTTACTACATATTTAACAACAATTTCATACAGGGCTACTGATGTATAGAGTGCGATAACTTTAAAATGCACAATAAGTTTTAACTTTCTTAATAAAAGCGGCTCTTTATAGAGATATCTGTCATTAAGGGCAACCTAACTTTGCTATTCTCCACCACAGTTGTGGTGCAGTTAAACATAAACTTGTACGAATTATTCTTATTTCTTGGCAGAAGTTAAGAACCCCCTGAGGCTCATTTAAAACACACACACAGAGACACACATAAAATGAGGAATTAATAAAATATTGTATTCTTCTGAACCACATTAAGTTTTCTGACGTGTGTCTGTTGCTGATTACATCAATCTAGGCTCCATAACTTGTCATGTGATGACAGGCAAACACTTGTGAATTTATTTCTCTGAAGAAGCCTGCGATACAAATGCCAAGGAAACCAAACCAAATGGCCCACTCCAAATACATAAAAGCAGCAGGGCTTCTTGCAGGGATTTTTTTTTTTTTAATAGGTACAAACAGGCAGGTACCCAATTCCCACAGACTTGAGGTTGTAGTTTGGAACCTAATTACCATTTTTCCTTTTCAAGGTCCTCTTCCTTGCTTATATGGAGTAAACAGAAGTGTTTATTTAAAAAAAAAATTGATTTTTTTTTTCCTACTGCTTGCCTTGGCATTTGAAACATTACCAACAGATAATGACGAGTAAAAACATGGATTTGATTTTGCAGGTTTGGGGGTTTTTGGCAAATTTCAACAGAGTAACTTTTGATCTGCACATTGTCAAAACCAGAAATTTTGCAAATTCAAAGTATATTCCATTCAGATTTTCTAAATCAAATTAAAACGTGATGTCATTTCTGTTCTCTGGTTGAAGAAACAATGTAATTAGCCATGACTTGTCATTAGAGGCAAACTTCATGTCACACTTAGAAAGGCTCTAAGTATCAGCTGGGAATCATAAAGATCATCAACTATTCGGGTTAAATTGTTTTCACCACATTGCCATGCTGATTAATTCTAGCTCAAGTATATTCCTGGAAAGCAAAAATGGATAACAAAACATAGTTTAAACTACATTAAACTACATCACTCCCAATGAAAATACTTTCCGCCGTCAGTGCCTGTGGTGGAGGCAGCACGGAGCCGAGCTGAGTTTGAAGACACGGCTCTGTAAGAGCTTCCCATGTCTCCAAACCACGCACGGGCACCACTGCGCAAACAAACGGGCAGCTCCCAAACCAACCCAGCAGAAAACACCACCTTTTCTGAATAACATCTTTTTTTTTCTGCGTGCAAAGCGTGCAGGATGATGGTTTCTATTTGCTCAAGGAGGAGGAAAAGCAGATCGGCCAGACTTGCCCAACAAATTTACACTCCTCTGCTCACCTACCCCATAGCTACACAGCTTCCGTAATGCAAGAGTTGTCTGGGACAGGGACTCCTCTTATAAGGCTGTAAAACATGACAAAATTCTAAATAGAGACTATTAAGAAATAGTATTAGAATATAGACAGGAACTCTTATCTTTACATCCACTGACGCTTCCTAGGAAAATACATCTGTATTTACAATCCAAAAAAAGAAAAAAAAAAAACCCAGTCCTACCCACCATTCACATCCCAGCAGTGCCCAGCACCACATGGTCCTTCCAACTAAACTGATTTCCACCGGCAGGATAATTCCCTGCTGCATCCCTAATCGGCAGCTGGTGTTAACAGCTTCTCTCACTGCTCTCCATGGAGAACATCCTCTACGGAAAGTGAACCCAGATGTCAACTTTCATCTGCATTATGAATCTCTCTTATTCTCTGGGCTGTATAACTTGGGACGGGGGAAAAGGTATTTGGGTAGTACAGACACATTTTCTATTCTCCATCAGGATGCGGCTCCAAAATCTGCTGTAACGAGGTTTCCACAGCAGCACCTCTCCACAGTGGAAACCAGGTAGAAGCTACACTGTGAGGTATTCCTTCCCCGTGAAGGATGGAAATGTGACATATTAACTGCCCCGGTCTTCCCTCCGGTACCCAGCCAGGGAGAGGAGGAAGCAGGGGACCATGTCCCCCGGAGATCGCAGCAGCCTCAGACCGCAGCGGGCAAGCAAATGGACATACAACTGGTAGAGTGAAGAGCTTCCTTCCAAAATTTCAGTAACAGGGAAAGCTGGATGAGCCTCCTGCCATAAATCCAGGCATTGCATTAGGGGAGAAAAAAAGGGCTAAGCCATGCAAGTATACAAAATGTGGAAAATCCACCTGCCCCAAGACAGGACGGACTGTGTGAGAATCACCTCTGACTGACACCTGTCTAAGCAGCGACGGAGACTCCACCTCCCTCTCCAGGTATTCAGCCCAGTGTTCCTCCACATGTACATTTAGAAGGCTTCTCCTTATGTCTAACCTATATCTTCCTTTCCACCACGTAAACCAACAGCTTCTTGTCCTACCCACACGTGGAGACAGCGAACACAGAGAACAGCTAATTTCCATCCTCTCTGCTGCTTTCACGCACTTGAAGGATCTTTGTCTCCTTTCCCAGTTTTCCTTTCTCTCAACTAATCAAACTCAGCTCCTTCAGCTTTTCACTACAACAGGCCACTTTCTTCTCCATTGCCGAGGCTTGTGCCTCTTCTCTGCCCGGCGTGGGGCTGTAGCCACTTCCAGCACAATGTGACAACCAGACACGAGGTGCTGGCTGACACCTCCCAGCTCCAAGAAGTGAAAAACCTCATCCACTGCTGTCTTGCACATGACACTCCTAAAAGTTACTGGTTTACATGCCTGAAAGCTTGTTTGGTGAACCACAATATACCAACCAAATCAAAGCTGTAAACACTTGAGGACAAAAAAACTTCTTTTCAATGTATATATACGTACAGTACCTGGCACCTGGGGATCCACTTCCTCAGCACACTGACTCAAAACAAAGCAGCCAGTTGGCAAACATCACTTGCAAGAGACCGAGAGTCCATCAAAATGAGATGACAGAATTAGTCAAGTGCACCATTAATTTCAGAACATCATTAACTTAAAAGTGTGGGGGTAAGAAACATTTTTGACAGCTGGTTTCAGTTGCTGCCAAGCCTTTAGTATTGCACAGCGGTCGTGGGGGGAGGAAATAAGCTGGAATGGTAGTAAATGAAACCACTCGTCTGGTTTCTGAATTCACTTTATTGTGGTCACAGATCTCTAAAAACTGGGATTCTGCGCCCTGTAATTACAACATCTACATTTAAATGGAAGGAACAGGGATAACATTAAAAAAAGAGTGCTCGAGGATGAGGTTTACTCCTCGGTTTGCACATGGTGCTGGGAAAGGTGCCTGGGCAGAGCTGGAGCCAACCAGCAGATGAGGAACGGGACGGCCGCCCTCCTGGAGCCACGCCGGGTGCTCACACCCACGCCCATCCCGCGCAGCCATGATGCGGTCGGGCACTGCCGCACGGCTCCCCCTGCGGCCAAGCAAGCGGCAGCTCCCAGGCGGCAAGCCATCGGAGCACCACTTTATTTTCCCCTTGCAAGGCAGGGAACCAGGCTTGGTTAAGAGACCAAATGTGAATTACCCAACTAAGCCCCGGCACTCGCCAACCGTTTGGTCCGTGCTCATTTCCAAAGCTAAAAATTACTACAAGCCCTGGCTTACATGACTGCAGAATTTGCCAAACTCAAGTGAAATTTGCTTTGGTTAAATCCTTCCAGTGCCAAAACCAGACGCTGAAATGGCAGCCTTGGGAACCCTACTCTGAGCTGCTCCTTAAGCCGGACAGCGAGTCCAAGGCAGGAAAAGTGAGAATGGGAGCCGGCAGCAAGAAGGGGACCGCAGCAGCACCGCAGCTCCTCCGCCCCACTTCGCCCC